ATGTGATGATTCGAGAAGGGGGTCTTCTGTGGAAAGAGGATGCAATGAGGTAATCATTATGGATCATAAAGTCCAGGAGCTTGAAATAATTGGTGGTGAAAAGGTCGTCGTTGGGTGGTTCGCTGGGGAAGACTGCCTTTCCAATGTGTGATTGAAATTCCTCTAGGTCCGTGGGGACGATCCTAGCGTTAAAGTCCCCCATGTATATAATTAAGGAGGGCTTCTTCAAATTGTCGTGAAATAGCTGTAGGTCTTCCCAAAATTTGTCCTTGCGGGCTTCGTCCGCGGCAGGGTCGGATAGTTGACTAGGCGCATACAGCGCTACTAGGTGTGTCGGCAGTGGCTGGGTGCGTAGCGTAATTGACGCTGTTCGCCCAGAGTAGGGGAGGAAATCTGACACCAAAGGTAAGGAGCGGGCTGGAACAAAGAAGCCTGCCCCTGCCATGTGTTCTGCGGGGGCTCCGGAAAGAAGGAGCTTACCCCCTGATATTCTACGTTCGTCTGACGCTGTCGATTTGGTTTCTTGAAGAGCCAGAATATCAACAGACTTAGACTTTACAAAGGCCGCTAGGGCCTCTTGGTTTCCATGGCCGACTAGTGTCTCAATGTTAAATGTGACTATATGCAGTTGATTCTCAGTTGATCGCGCTCCGGGCGCCAGGTAAGGAGGCGGGGTGGTAAATCAAGGAGTGATTGCTGAACATAAGCTTTAAAAAGGTGGGCGCGTGAACCTACTGTTGGCGCTCGCGTTTTGCCATAGGCTCGTTCAATTTGCGCAGGGCTGTTCGTTACCCTTTTCGGAGGGAGCCGGGGATGGACTAGGGTAAATTTTCCATCCTCCAGCGCGTGTTTAATCCACTGACGATAGTTGCGTCTAGAATCTGATCGTTCGGCTTGGTATCTAGATTGTCGGCTCAACATAGCGCGCGTGGAGCGCAAACATTGATGACTTCGAGAAGAATTTCCCTCCGACGCACAGCGAGATTCGTGGCCACTCGCCTCATAAATGGTGCGGCGGTTCGCGCCGTTATGAAGTCCAAGGAAATTGCGTAATACCTGTTTGGGTTGACCGTGGCCCCCCGGCGTGCCGCTTGCGGCTCTCGCAGCACAGAGATGTTGATATAAGTTGCTGGCTTTGCTTCCATAATAAACTGAGTAGTGCCTAACGCCTCGACGATAGTACCAGAGCGAGAGGTGTGCCGTACAATAGTGGTCCTTGTGGACCGCCATACCCCTGATGATAGCCGCAGCTGCGTCGCTGCAGCAAGCACTGCCCGTGGCGTTGTACAGCTTCAAGTAGGGCTGCTGTGGGCCTCTAGGCTTGCTCTGCAGGCTCCCCAAAGGGGAGGGAAAAAGTCAGTAAACCGAAACAACTTGAACCCAGGCGTGCCTGGTGCCTTGGTGCTGATGCTGAAACATAGCCCATGCTGTTTTCCAAGTAAGGAGGTGAGCCCCGCCCTCAGCCAGGGCCAGCATAATAGCTCCATGATGTTCCCTTTGTTCACGTGGGCTCTCCACTGAACACTCTGAATCTCTTCGTTGGAGAACTTGAGTAGCGGAAGGATATACTCTAGCAATTTAACAAGCTCGTTGTTGGGGGCCTGAAGTTGTGACTTCTTCGCGTCCCGAAGAACACCATAGACTGCGGCAATCTGCCAAAACATCCCATCAAAGAAAAGCGAACCAAAGCCCGCTGAAGTACCAACCCCCTTGTTGTCAAAAGGGGCGGTGGCAAGAATGCAATCTTTCAGGGTAGAGTCGTTGTCTAGATACCATACGAACTCCTCCGCTAATGTCTGGAAAAGATCCGTGGAGGTTCGGGCCCAGGTGTCCTGAAGGAACCACTCCAACAGCTGTTGGGTCCAAGCTAGCGGGCGGGTTCGTGTTGCTGAGCTTGGCCTGTTCATACGCTATCCAAAGGGAAGAAGCAATCAACCTATCCCACGGCATCATGGGGGAATGGCAAGCATCTACATTGCGGGCCAGGTCTCCTAAGGCATACGGCTTTGCTAGTTCCTCAAAGTGTTTGGTCCAAACTTCCTTGAAGTATTGCGCGAACCAAGAGGCCGTATAGAAAGTAGCCTGAAGAACAGGTTCCAATAAAGGACCCCACATATTCACGATGTTCTGTTCAGTCATGGCCCAATTGGGGTTGCTCCAGGGGAGTCTGGTAGGTCTAGGGGGAGGTATCAATACTGTAAGGTCTGCAACAAAGAGGGAATGAACCCAGTAGGCTGCGTGTTGCATCGGGGTGTAATTAGCGTAATCGGTACCATCATATAGTTTCTTCATCTGATCAAGGAATTGGGTAGTGACCTCAGGGGCTTGCATAATGGGGTCAAGTTCAAATAACACACGGTCCAGTTGAAGTATCATACACTTAGTCGCTGTTGGGAGTGTGGTCCAGGTGTCTTGTGCTTGCTTCGATGACCAATACTTGCGGTGTTCCTGACAGAATGAACAATCTTGGGCATGTCCTAGGGGTTTGTTGCAAAGCTGTTGGGAGTTGTTGGTGCAAGGGCAACGTAGGGCTTGCCACTGAACTGTGTCCTTCCACATAAATCCCGGTGGTACCGGCTGACCTTTGCATTCCGGGTAATCTATACAGTAGCCTAGGGCACAGGAGCAAGTAGCACAAATAAATACTGGCTGAATCCTATTTTGACCTTTGCCTTTGTTCTGCGGTTGCTGTTGTTGTCCAGCGGATCCACCGAAGATAGGGGCCTGGTGGGTTCTAGGGGGGTTCCAACTACTCCAAGATTGGCCCCAGTCATCGTTATTGTCCTGGTCGTCGTCCTTCTTCCAGTTGGTTCTAGAGTCGTGGTCTCTCTCTTTCCAATCACCTTTGGGTCTGGACTGCTTCCCTTTATCATTGGATTTATGCTTTCCTTTTTCCTGGCCTTTATCTTGACTCTTGCGGGTGTAGTCTTGCCATCCTCTGGGTTGGGACCATCCCTGATAGGAGCTGCCGGGTGTGCTGAGTCGAGGCCTCCAGGGGTCTTGGTAATCCTGATGCTTCTGGGATTGCTTAGATTTTCCAGAACCTTTCGCCTTTGGGGACCCTTTGCCGTAATCCTCATAACCCTGATCCAAAAAAGCCTGGGCCGTCAAGGCAGTCATGCCACCAGCGCCCTGGAAGGGCAACATGGGGTGAGACTCGAGCATCGAAGCTAGATCATCTGAGAGACGTACCGGCATGATCGGGTAGGGAAAAGCCTGCGAGTGAGACGCGGTCGTGAGGTTGAAGGACTTGTCAACAGAAGCTCTCTGCACAGTCGTGCGGTCCGCCGTCGTGCGCCGAAGCGCCTGGATCAGAAAAAGTGTATCGCGTAGGCGGCGGGAAAATTTTCCATGCCACCGCGTCAAGGCCTCCTCGTAGAACTTGTCGTGAACCAAAACCAAGCAAGAATACCTTCGCGCAAAGCGCGGGTCCAATACGTAGCTCACCTGACCCAAAAGCACTTTGGGCTCCTCCCCTTTCGGGGTCCAGATCTGCAATGTCTGCCTCCAGGTTTGTAGGGTAGCGGTCTCCTCGCCGAGATGTTCGGCCACCAGTTCTGCTAACACATCCAGTAAAGCATAGTAGGGCTGCATTGAAATACGGTCGTCCGTGGGAAGGTCAGCTTCCACTCTCAACTTGACGTCTTGGCTGTCTCCTGTTCTCTAATATCTTCGTCCTTGTCGCATCGCTTCTCGGAATTGTGTGGCTTGCTGTTCCGTGATAAACTCCACTCTCACAACTGAGGTGTGTGATGTGACCATATGGTTGTGTAGAGCAGCTATAGTGTCCCAGGAAAGATTCGAAAGCTGAAGATAATACTGAATATTGTTGTCAAGAACCTTTTTGCTGTATATAGGTGGCAAATCCATCAATAAAACCGTCTTGTTGGTACGCGCGCGCTCCAGTGTCTGCAATTGGGCCGCCTGTCTCTCAAGCGTGTACTGCGTCAAGGCAAACTCATGCTGTGCCATCTTGTAAAAAGCATCGCAGCACTGATAAAGCTGATCCGAGCTGGGTAGAATGGACTGCTCGTGGTACTTCATCATGGCTGATTGTACGTTGGCCTCTGTAGTAATATTGGGGACTTCGCGTCCCGCAATGGCTCCAAAGTCTCGCTTCTTGGTCGTTGGCTGTGGCATCCAGGTGCCATCTTCAGGATTGTAGCATTTGTCTGTGCTGTGTATCGCCAGAAAATCAGTTCGAGAGCTCTTGCTGCTGCGAAGTCGGTTTTGCAACTCCGGGTCCAGATCTGCAAAGTTGATGTCCAGATCAATGAGCTTGCGCTCAACGTCAGCTAGGTCTTCTTCCTCCTCTGTCTTTTGCTTCTTTGGCGGCGGCGATGTGGGCTGCGCGGCAGCCGCTGCAGTCTCTGATTGTTGCCTCTGCCAGGCCCTAAAGGCCTCGAGGTCCTGCGGGGAAAGCTCTGCGCTCACCGTGGTAGCTGCAGCCGGTGGTGCTAATACCGGCGGCGCCTTTGCTAACTGGGGTTCCCTGACGGGAGTCTGAGTCATCTCTTCCTCGGGTGTTTCCTGCGACTCTGATTTCTCCTGCTTCGCCATGGCTGCATCGGCCATGGCTCTGTCAAACGAACAAAAACTTAGGGTTCGGGAAACAAAAGCACCAAGGCCCTGGGGCTGAAAACTCCAAACTCAGTGAAAACCCTAGAAGGTCGGGCAGGCCTGCGGAAGTGTGGTCCTAGACCAAGCAAAGCAAAGCACTGCGCAAAAAGCACTGGGGTCGATGGGCCGATGGCCCTTCTCTGTGCTTGTGCCAAACGCCTGCATGGTGATACCAGCAAGCAGAAAGGATCTGAGAGCATTCAGCTGCAAGTGTCTACGGTAGAGACGGGCTTGAATTGACGGCTTGCTTAAGCAGCGAACCTATCTTCGACGACCCCGGAAACTAATCCCTCCTGCAGCAGACAATCGAATTTCAGTTCCCTTGTACTGCTTTTTTCCCCTTCTCCACGGACCATTCGCCGCGAAAGCTTTGGCGCAGGGCGACAGTGGCAAAAGCAAGCATGAGATCCATCAAGCATCGCACCTCAGATAATCGGACTGTAAAAAAGCCGCGCTTGTATAGGACTGTATCCCACTATGCAGCCTGTCAGACTTCTCCGGAAAAAATGCTCGGGGCATCTCCATATTATATAAAAGTGTGCATGGACCAGCAGGTTGGAAGCACAATCCGTTATTCGTTCATCTTCGCTTGGCCTCATCACCTCGCCTCGTGTCCTCTTGGTATGCTTGAGACCTCCACCACCGGCTCTCTGCTGCTGCGTCACAGGTCGGGCTCTGTCTGCAGCAGCACAGGCCCTCTCAACCGCAGCAAAAGCCACATTGTTGGGACGCAGATTGCCTTGCGGCTCGAAACATGAGGCAACACTGGCGTGTAAAGACTTGCCTCATGTTCTCTTCACGCCATGACCACGGGCCTTGCTCGATCTCCCGAAGGACACAGAGAGCCCGCTGCCACTGCGAAGCATCTGCCAGAGCATCCAAGGCCTCGAAAACAAACTGAGTGAGACGAGTCGAAGACTTCCGAGCCTGTGAGCTCGGGTCGCGACAGAGGTGTAGACGACCAGATCTGGTTGCAAACCTTCCAGCTGCATCTGGCCTGCACTGTCCAAGCTCTAAGAAGTGAGACTCAACACAAGAACAGATAAGTGGACTTCTTCAAGCGGCACGTCCAGACTGAGAGGGTGCCCTGCCAAAACGGCAGGAAACCAGACGCCTTTCGTTCCATACTGTTATGACGATTTACCCACGGCACTCAAACGGCCTCAAAGCCCCCCGCTGAGAGTCCATAACGGCGATGTTCTAGTGTTGCGAGCTAGCGAGTTTGCCGAAGCCCTATTTAGCTCAAGACTCAATGCGGATCCCAAGTTTCAAGCGTGTTCCAAAGCAGCCCCACATGGGAGTCTCCCAAGATACAGGACCCAAATATGGGAACCTCGATATCATGATCACACGGACAAGTCTTCTGAAATCTAAACAGGATGTTACAGAATTAGAATAAGCTTATGATAGAAGCAAAGTTGTAGGCATTTAAGAAGCCCCGCGTCCCTCTTTTTTGAGACCCGGGGCCAAGAAGAGACAGCACAGGCTGCCATGAGCGATCAGCAGCACCTTGGCTGCAACGACGAGACGTTTGCTGACATAGTGATACACAGCAGGTGATGAAAGGAACGTGATAGGTAGACATAGATGGCTAGGTCGATAGATAGACAGCTCAGATAGATGGCTACGAAGATAAATGACTAGGTAGGTAGAGAGATAGGTGGATTGCTTGACACACCTAAAAATATGAGCCTGCCTGCCTTCCTACTACCTACCTACCTGCCTACCTGCCTGCCTGGGTAGGTAGGTAAGTAGGTAGGTAGGTAGGTAGGTAGGTAGGTAGGTAGGTAGGCGGGTGGGTAGGTAGG